GTCCGTAAGTAATGGTCCATAGAGACATACTAGATTTTTTACTTCAAAATATTACGATTGGAGCCAACATGCCTTAATAAAATGTTGATAACAAAAAAGATACAGGGTGTCAAAGTTGGAAATTAAAAATTGAATTTTCGTAATAATTATAATATTTTTGAGTGTATGAACGTGAAAATTTAGGGGTAGATGTTTTTGTATACGAGAAATCATAATTTGTTATCTATTTCGATGTATCTTCTAGAGGGCGCCACATACGCCGTGTTTATGACATAAATACGAGCATAGATTTTTTAAAAAAAGAAGCGTTAACGTTGTGGATAAAAAAATTATGCTCGTATTTACGTCATAAACACGGCGTATGTGGCGCCCTCTAGAAGATACATCGAAATAGATAACAAATTATGATTTCTCGTATACAGAAACATCTACCCCTAAATTTTCACGTTCATACACTCAAAAATATTATAATTATTACGAAAATTCAATTTTTAATTTCCAACTTTGACACCCTGTATATTTTTTGTTATCAACATTTTATTAAGGCATATTGGCTCCAATCGTAATATTTTGAAGTAAAAAATCTAGTATGTCTCTATAGACCATTACTTACGGACCACCCTGTATAGTTATAAAAAATGAATTACAATCTTTGCTGGGCACAAAGTTTGTTGAAAAGCATATTTTGTTGGTATACTCCCGGACCGACACAACTAAGTTTGCATCCGAGACAGCTCCGCCCACAAATGCGCATTAGACAGGGCAACTACTCTTATTCGTTCTAACGGAATGCGTTACTTCTTTATTTCTATCAAGCTGTACATTTGTTCGTTATTTTAAAAGTTACATTAATTATTATTCCCGAATATATTTTTATTTTATATTTTATAAAAAAATCACCATCACAACCACACGCTGGACTCACCGATCGAACATCTTCTGCGGCGTGGAGTCCCCCTCCATGGACCAGTGATAGACGGAGGTCTCCGTCACCAACGCCAGAGTATTGGGGCTGATCCACTTCCAAAATATGACGTCCTCCGTCATGGTGTGCGCCTTCATCTTGGACTTCATCTCGATGTTGAAGATCTGCAGGGTCTTCTGCGCCTCGACCCCCGCCTTGCCTGGAAAAGGTGCGACGTTCGTAAAAGCGGAAGCCGCCGGATCGTCGCTGACTTACCTTTGAGGGCGATGACTTTGGAAGCGGGGTTCATGATGGCGCTCTCCGCCGTGATGGGCCGGCGGATGGGGTTGTTCGGGTCCGCCATGTCGATGATGACGACTTGGGAGGACTCGCCCACCTTCTCCCTGACGCAGATGAACTTGTCGCTCTCCATGGTGAGGGTGGCGAACGAGATGTTCGCCACGTTGATGCCCACATTGGTGAGCTGGAAATCGATGGAAGTTAGAATGGTAGGAAGTTAGAGACGATACATTCAGGTCATTTAAAAAAAAGGCGGGGGGTACCAAATGAGAGGTACAAAAAATTCTAGTCATACAATTGTTTTTTTTTGGAAACGGTTAATGTCATGGAACAAGAGAAGCAATCTCTAATTATTATTAATTTTTTTTTTTTGAAAAACCACAAATAAAAATGTTATAACTAGATCGATTTTCGACCGTCATTTGTTTTCGAGTAATGATGTTATCGACAACCTCCTATTTTTTTTCTTAATTCTGAAAGATCGTTTCATTGTTGATCCGACAGTATTAAAATGTTGCCATCTTACATAGGACAGTTTTCGAGTAAATGACGATTGAATGTTAGAAAACCCAGATCAATTAAAATAAACCAAAAACGTTATCCAATTTAGTTTTTCGAAATACCTGAAGTTTTTTATGGATCACGTAGGTGTAAGGATGACCTTTACAAAGTCTCACTGTCATACCGACTTTCTAAGTATTGCAAGCGATATAAAAATTATTTTTGAATTTAAAGTATTATGGCACATTTAACTGTCACACAAAGAATTGAAATTTTAGTTCTTATCGGATATGCGGATAAGACTAGAACGCAGCAGGAAGTTTGCAATTTATTTAATGAAAAACATCCAGATCGCCGTATCAGCCAATCAACAGTCAGTAAGATAGAATCTAAATTTAGAGAAACTGGCAATGTTGTAGATATTCCAAAACCTGGACGTCCAAGCGTTAGTGAAGATCGCAAACAGAACATTTTGATAAGTATGGTAGATAATCCTCATAATATTTCACGATTGGTTGCATTAAACAATGAAATTAGTTAGACCACAGTGCTACGTATCCTGAGAAAGGAAAAATATCATCCCTACAAAATTCAACTTGTGCAGAAACTCAATGAAGACGATCCCGACCGCCGCTTACACTTTTGTGATATTATGATGGATTTATGTCAAGTAAATAGAGATTTACACCGGCAAATACTTTTTTCAGACGAGGCCACGTTT